CGAAGAAGAATGGATGGATGGAAAGGATGGAGGAGAATGTGAGAAAATGTTTTCTCGAGGTACCACGAAAAACTTTCAAACTATGATTTTAATATGAATTGAAATATTTTCATTTGTTAAATTAATTAAATATTATGTTTTTTTTCAGTTAAATACTTAAATTTAAACTTACCGCCATTTAAAAAAACGAAAGATTTTGTCATTAAACACCAGATGGCGCTATGGCGCTTTCTATCTTAGACGCCAGAGGGCGGCAGCCTGCAAATCGAATTTAAAAGGTAATTGTCTTTACTAAATGGTTTAAAAAATGGATACACATCTGAACTGCTTTAAAAATAATTTCAATTAACGGCATGAACTGCTTGATAACGGTTTTTTGAATATTTTTGAAAAAGGTTCCGATTTTTGTCCAAATCAAAGCACGAATAAAATTTCCAATCCCAATTTGAGTTCACATACGTGGCACAGGCTCTTAGCTTACTGCATCCTTGAGTTACAGCTGCATTGTGTAAAATTAATTAGTAGGGGAGAGTGGGGGAATTTCGTCAGCATTTTTTCAAAGCTATTTTTTGTCCATCTTGAGACACGTTATCATATTTCTATTTTTATTGTTGAATGCGGTTGGCACTAAGCTTTAAAATGTGACATTCCCCTATTTTTTTAATTAACTTGGTGATTTATAAAAAATTAAAAAGTAAAACCAATATACTGGGGCAATCTCACCACATAGGGGGTAAAATCACCACACAACTGGGGAAATTTCGTCACCTGAAAAATGTAGGGAACTTTACGCCTGTAAGTATGTTACACTGATCGAGCGTACCATTTTTGTTGATGTCCTATATTTGTTGCTGCTGCTGGTAGTCTGTTGATTAGCCAGCTCGTCAAATATAAAAATATGTATTTAAAATAGGTGCGAATTTACCCTTAGCGTAGGGTGGCGAAATTTCCCCAGACACTACTTTTTAAGAAATAATTATTTTTCTTCCGAAATTAGGCGCAAAGTTAAAAATCACTAACGCAGAAATGCACATTATAGCTCTGTGTATTATATAAAAAATCGTGTATCTTATTCCTTTTGAATTGTGGCATACAGAAAAAATTTCGTCGAGAACTAAATGTAGCTTTTGAACTGTTAAAACACATTTAATATTATAGCTCAATTATCTTGGCTTTCTGTGCAAAACAAATGCATTGGTTGTGTCTGGCCGTCTTGAAGGACTAAAACAAAAAAATTATATATTTTTACGACTTATGGATTCCGAGATATTGCAGGTGACGAAATTGCCCCTGTGACGAAATTCCCCCACTCTCCCCTATTTAATCGTCCCATAAAGGTCGACTATATTAGAATCGATTCCTTTGCCCTCTCATTACATGGACTGCAGTCCAGGCGTTTTATTAGAAGGGGAAGTTTATGAAGGACCATAAGCCAAAACAACTTATTATAACTCCAGCATCCGATCTGCCTACCAAAAATGTAATCAATGGAGTACAGTGTCAACCATTTAATCCCATTAAGGTGATTTTGCGAGAGTAAGAGACTCATGTGAGGATAGGATAATTAAGCAATTATAATTGACTAATTTGCAGAAATATGAGCTCTTATGAAAATACCACAAAATACCCCAAAACTAAACCTTAAATTAACTACAAATTTAAGTATATTTTTTTTCAAATTATAGATATAAATTCAATGGCATTGGATGACTGGCTGCTTTGATTCTCACGGCCCAATTAATAGGGAAGACTTTTCTAAGCACCAGACCTGGCAGCGAAAACTTTTCGCCGAAGAGCCGCCGACTTTCATTGTCGAATCGCCTGGCATCAGCATTAAATATTATTAATTTTTGTGCTCATCAGCACAAGGTGAACAGGGAACGGGCTCGTTTTCAGTGGAAGTAGAGTCAGAAGCACAGAAGTAAAGCACAAAAGCACGAGAATCCCCTTTTGAAAAAGAGTTTGGGGTCGTCGAACTGGCTGCATTCTAAATGGTGTTAAGTACACTGCAATTAGGTGGAAATCACTGCAGTTTTCACTAATTGGGTTTTGTGAAAAGTATGAAATGTGCGATGAGTCAATAAATTAGTAATATTATTATTAAATTATTAACTTATATGTATTAAAGTACGTAGTAATATAAAATATATTGTGAATTTTTAATTTTTTTCTATATAAATTGCTGATTATCGCTACCTTAGAAAGGTCTTTCTTATAAATAGGGGCGTGAGAATTAAAGCAGCGAGTCATCCAAACCCATCGACTCGAGTTCATTGCGGTCGGGTTCAGATTTAAGGAAGTGCCAAATAAAATTGGCTACGCGTCATCGAGATAAGGTGACTGGAAAAATCGTAAGGCGAAGCAAAACAAAACAAAACGAAAACGCTATCTAGAAATCATTGGCCAAAACTCTCAATTATGACTGTGTGTTTATAAACACACTTTCCGTCTGATTTTTCGCATGTGTCAGACAACTTTTTTTGCAGAGTGCAACGAACGGCTCTCGAGTTGTGAATTGTGAATTTTGGGCTATTCGTATTTGTTTTGTTTACGCGCATTCGCGGCTTTTGGCCGTCTTATCAGTCGTTTGCCAAAATATATAAATAAAACTTTACGCGTGGTCGTTGTTGACGGGGAGATAAATACGCCTACGATTTCCCTCCGAGAAAAGAGTTAAAATAGATCAAGTGGATAAAAAGGTGTTTTATCTTCTGTGTGTGCTGGACGGGGCTAACACCTTTTTTTTTTAACAAAGAGAGTAAATTTTACATTTTTAAATGTTAATATTTTATAAATAAATGTGATTTAACTATGAAATATGAGGATGAGGAATTCTTGAGCCATTAAACCTTATATTTTATAGCCCAGTAGGTACTTTATAGAACTTGTGTTTGCTTTGTTTTATTAACCAGTAGTTCTGCAATAAATAGACTGATAAGATAAAATAGGATCATAAATCGATCTTGCCTCATTTAAATGACAGATTTCATCACATTTCCCCCAGCTGATAAACCCTGATCGATATCGATATCGAATCCATTCTTGGGTAACCTCACCGTATAATGCAATCCCCCAAGAACAATAAGGGTGCAGTTGAGGGCGTTTTGAAATTCAACGCCTTTATATGTATCTCTTTTGTGGACGCATAAGGAAGCAAATTTTTTTGCACAATCTTGATGTAGTCATCGATATCGGCGATATTTCCAATTCGTTGCAATAACTTGACTGATAAGCGAAAGAAGAGAGGCTGTCCTGTCATCGACATCGGAATACCCTCTTATCGTCCAACTGCACACGGGGCGTATGATTAATAAAATCCGAATAAACAAAAGGTAGATACACAGCGCGAAAAAGGGGGCCAACAAGAGGGGAGGGCGAAAAAGAGAGGCGCACCTTCGGAAAGTAAACGACAACTTGACCTAAATTTGAGACTCGAAAAACTCGGGAGGCGAACTCTCGAGTAAAAATGTGAGCAAAAGAGAGCCCCAAGTGACAGAGACTACTTTTACAAATCGCTGCATTTAAATAAACAAAACTACGAGGCGTGCTAATTTTTATGAATTTCATAACATGATTTTAATTTTAATAAGACAACGCTGCGTATTACGTGAAAGCTCTCTGATGCGTTGCTTTTGCTTTTTTTTCTCGACGCCGAAGTCACGCATGCGCGCCAAAAATCCACCAAATCCAACTGCATTTCTGTATTTCTAAGGCGAAAAAAAAGCAGAGAGTCTAAACACAAATCGGAGTGGGTAAGGCCCCAAAAATCGGGGGTCGGGGGTTACGAAGTGGATTGCCGGTTTATGCGGGCGTGGTGTTGTTGTTTCTTAGTTTTTTTCTTGTACAGCTTTTGCTGCCTCTTCTCCCAAAAAAGCAGAAAGCAAACGAAAATGAAAGCGAGAGCCGAAAAAATAAAAAATAAACTCTGGCAGCGCAGTCGACGACGTCGCCTTTTTGTGGTATCTGTGTTTCCTTGAGATTGTGTGGGTGCCTTTTGGGTCTCCCTTTGTGTGACGTCACACGATCGAGCGAATAACGGTGCATTGAGTTTTTTCATGAAATACACAACTGCGTGAAAAAGCTAAGAAAAAATTTACAATTCTAACGTAAGGCTCGGATTTAAATAGAAATGTTTACCAAGCTAAAATAAATTATACACTTTCTTAAAAACAATCTATAACTTGTAAAATGTAAGATAGAAAATTCAACATATTTTCTTATATTTTATACGTTTATTTTTAAAAACATCACACCTAAGAAAATTATTTTTTTTAGTTTAATGTTTGAATACTTCTTCAAACTGCACTGAGAAAAATTAAGCTTATCATCTGTTAATTAACTGAAAAACTAAATTATTTAACTACAATTACTAATCATTACATTTGACAAAAAATAAAATTATATATTTTTTAACGCTTCAAATAAAATAAAATTTATTATTTAAAAAAATCATGAAGAATTTTTTGAAAAAAAAAATAAAGTTTCCATTACAGTTCAATATGTTTTCCGCTTCCAGATATTCAAGTATTATCTTTAAAAATCATTCCCTGATATGTGGGCTTGCTATGTACCCCAAACTCACGTCTAAAGCCCCAAAATGCATATTATTTACGTTTAATGGCTTACACTCTGACTCTTTGCCTGCGGCGGTAAAAACAAGAACTTGCCAAGTGAACTGCCTTGCGACGAGAGTAAAAGTGATTGGGAAAAACTTTTGCTTTTTTACCTGATCTTGGCTCTCGCTCTCATCCACAGGTAGTTGTATGTTTTTGTCTTTGCTTTGGCTTTGCTCGTGCTTTTCTGTTGCTGTATGCCATTGCTTTTGTTGTAAAGACGGCGCAGTAACGGCGACGTCGACGTTTTGGCGTTTTGGGGGCTTTAATGGGGAGCGGTACGTGTATGTGTTTGTGTGTGTTACATGCGCTGCCCGCTCATTTTCTTTTTTCTTCGCCTGCGTCGCTGCGCCAAAGACTTTTTCACTTTGCCGCGGCGTTCGCGTTTTGTCACAGTTACAATTTACCATTTGTCGGCGACGGACGCGCGCTCTCCGCTTAGTAGAGTCGAAGAAAATCGAAGAAAAGCTCGCTCAGCTAACGGTTCTTCAGGAGCGTTTCGTTTCTAACACCACAACCATTACAGCGGCCCATACAAATAGCATACCCACAAAAGTCGTCGGCCCGTCTCGTATAAAATCTGTTGCATCACTGCTGCGGCACTTCAGTCGTTCGAACGCGTGCGGCCGGAGAAGTGCAGTTAACAAATACGAAATATATTAAAACAAAATAACAACAACAAGAATTAAAAAAAAAATAAATAATTTACAAAAATGCTCGGCTGCAGTGAACATTTAGGCAGCCTAAAATGAAGCTTGAAATATAAACGGATATTCTAAACGAACATTTCCAAAGACCCACTTACCTCAGTGCAATGCTTTAGGCCTTAAACAAAAAATTTAAAAAATATTTTAATTATAATCTGAACTTTAAAAAAAACATCCAAAATTAACGCGTTACAAGGAATCAAGATTTTACCCTCCTTCGCGCAACTGAAAATGCTGAACATGGAGTCGCCGCAGATGTACGCCGATGCCGTTCAGACATTGGCCCAGCTGGACCTCAAGAAGGAGCCGCCGTTGCAGCAGGCCACCATTGGCCAGATCACCCTGACGGCCATGTCCACGGCGCAACAGCAGCAGCAGCAACAGCAGCAACAACAGCAGCAACAGCAGCAACAACAGCAGCAACAGCAGCAGCAGCAGCAACCTCAGCAGCAGACAACGGATGCCAACAACAATACTTCCCAGGATGCGGCACTCCTTGTGAAGCATGCATCGCATGCCATGCACCAAATGCAACAGGTTGCCGCCCTGGGCAGCAACAACAACCTGTTGCAGAAGCAAATGCTGCAGCAGTACACCACCCAAACGGACCTGGACGAGCTGACCACGCAGGAGATCACCCTCGATCTGCAGCACCTCATCGACGATCAGTTCAGGGACACGGAAACGCTGGGCATCTTCAGTGACATGGTCACCAGTCCAGGTGGTCTTTCGGCCACCCTGCCGCCCAGTGGCATGGTTTCGGCGGCAGCCAAGGTCCTGCAGCAGCAGACCTTGCGTAACCAACACGGCTACGGGGGCAGAGGAGGCGGCGGTGGCGGCGGAGGAGGGGCGGGAAATGCCCTAGCCTACATGCCACAGCCCGTTCATGCGACCTACAACAATTCCAGCGATGAGAACAGCTCCGTGGGCTCCGACTCCAGTACGATCAAGGAGGAGCCCATCGATCCGGAGTACAGGCGGCATCTCCAGGAGGCGGCCAACCAGCAGGCGGCCTTCATGGGCAACGGCGGAGGACTCTACAATGGATACGGAGGAGGGGCAAATGGCCTGTCTGGTGGCGGCAACCCCCTGAACGGGGGCAACACCACGCCCAGCAGCAACGGGAGCAACGGGAGCACCGGCAGCAGCAACGGCAGCCAGTTCACCAACCTGACAACGGCCAATGTCCTGGCCCATCACAATCTGCCTCACCTGGCCGCCGCTGCTGGGGCACACAACCTGCTCAAGCAGCACAGCAAGTTGCATGCCCAGCAGCAGCATCAGCAGCACCAGCAGCAGCAACATCGGAAGCACAGCAACAAGCATGTGGACAAGGGCACCGACGAGTACCGCAGGAGGCGGGAGAGGAACAACATTGCCGTGAGGAAGAGCCGGGAGAAGGCCAAGGTGCGTTCGCGGGAGGTGGAGGAGAGGGTGAAGAGCCTCCTCAAGGAGAAGGATGCCCTCATCCGGCAGCTCAGCGAGATGACCAACGAGCTGCAGCTCCACAAGCAGATCTACATGCAGCTGATGAACCATGCCAATCCCGAAGTGAGCCGCGTTTGCCGGAGCTTCCTCAACACCAATGAGCATTCGCTGTAGCAGATACAAAGATAGTGTGCGTGTGTGTGTGTGTGTGATCCAGTCTGTAAGTGTGCGTGTGAGAGTGTGACTCTGTTAAATCAAAGATTCAAAATGCTGTGTGGGTAGCTCGTAAGAACCATTTTTCTTCTGCCGATCATTTTCTTCGGGCTGTAAAGCTGTAAACGACACAGCAGCTCACTGGCTGCTTCATCGTTTACAACCAGCTCGAAACTCTTTTGCCAACTCCTCTGGCATTCCTTTGTACATTTTATTCTACCCCCCATTTCTTGTTATCATTGTAAAACATATTTTTGTACTTAATTCTTAACGACTGTAACATATATTTCGCACATTTTTTATACATAATCTTCTACATTATATCTTATCATAAAGTTAAGCCAAAGAAAAATGTTAAAAATATTAATGTAAAAAAAAATAACACGCAGGAATGAGAGAAAAACGGAAAATACAAAAAATCAAATCTATTTATACATCTAATTCAAATTTGTACATTTCTTGACTGGTGTGCGGCTTTGCTCTATGCTTGATGCCACGCCCACTCTTACGCCCCCAGCCCCCTGCTTGAAACACAAACATTAGCAAATCTCTAGTTTTTAAGCCCGGAACATCAAGTAACCGCTTTACCTGCACAAATCCCCTCGACGAAATGCAAAAAGAAAACCTGCCCGTAATTAACCATTTTCTAGCGAATTCGACGAGTTCGCTTTTGAGAGCGTAGAAGATATGAATGCTATTAATTTGTAAGGCCAACGCAATGTTCTCATTTTAATTTATATATTCGTAAATTAAATATACACAAACAACAAAGAAAACTGTAAAGCAAATCTAAATAAATTAAATAAAATTTACAATTTACAAAGAACCTTGCTGCTATGGGTTTTTATTACACTTTTATTATTTTTTTTTCAGGCGCAGCCTTTCCCATTACTGCTCTAAATAGTTTAAAATAGAGTGATTTTTTCCTTTTTTTTTTTTCCATTTTTTATATTTTTACAATATTTCAAACTTACATTTTTTTAAACCTAATTTAAATTCAAACCATTTGCGGTAATATTTTTTTGAATAAAAGAAAAATTTAAATAAACAAGAATTAAATGTCATCTAAAAACATTAAAGCCTTGCCTAGATCGTTCTAGTTTTAATATTTTTTTAATTTTCACAATTTAGCGCGAAAACTGCAATTAGCCCAAGACACAATATGATGTGAAAAGCCCTGCCAAAAAATGTCTAATTAAATGTCGGCCATATTTAGGCGACAAAAGCGATCTGTTGGGGCCAAAGACTAGAAAGAGACGCGTAATATGGGCCCGTAAGGGAGGAGAGAGAGAGAGGGGGGAAGTGTCTTTCTTTTGGGCCGTGTCTTCTGTCTTCCGATGGGACAAATAAGACAAGGCAATGCATTTCGGGCTGCCAGGCGCGACAGTTGAGACAGCAGGGAAACCCAGAGGCAAAAGGGAATGCAGTGGACCCCAGACAATCGCAAGGCGGCCGTGTTGACACAATTTGACAGTAAGACAAACCCGAAACGAAAAGCAAATTTATAAACGACAAAGCAAAAAAGAATTAATGCAACTCGAGAAACCGACAAATTAACGCGCCAGAGAAAGCCCAAACAAAAAGCCTAAAGTCCGAGGTAAGAAAATAAACGCATGCCGACCCGAGGCAGATAATCACTTACAGACATTTGGGCCCGAGCTAAGCCCTTTTGGTTAAAACTTTCTTTCCATCTGTATCTGTATCTTGGTCAACTGCTGCTGCGTGCGCCCAATTTGTCTAGCTGCATTGTTGAGTACTTTGATTGATGAAAGCTAATTGCGCATGCACTCTACTCGAAAAAAAAAGTGAAATTGCTTTGAACTTGTGGGTGTCGCTTGGTAGCCACAGACCACAAAACCCAAAAAACAAAACCCCAATTTAAAGCTCGACTTTGATAAGGGTTCTAAGCAGCTTACGGTGAAAGTTAAGACCCTGCCCCTTAACCCCAAACCAAATGCATCTGGGTTTTGGCAAGCGGTCAAAAATTGCCGCACAATTACTGCCAAACTAAGCGCCGCGGCCACGAGGCGTATGAGTTATGAGCGGCGGCAGCAAAAAGTGATAAATTTGCAAATGCAACGAGCAGATGAGGCAGCAAACACACTTTTTTCTGTCTTACCTGTGCGACGCGCAGATAAATGCTAATTGCCGCTATGAAAGAAATGTTGACGGGACTTAAATTAAGAAGGGAGAAGGTCTAAGGGAGTTAGCAATGGGAAGGGTCTTTTAATTTATTAACTCAAGGTAAAATATCTTTTGAAATATGAAACAATATAATTTTGTAATAACTTTAAAATATGTTAGTAATATCTATTGAAACAAATTTTTACGGAATTTCATGGAATTTGAAATGGCAAGATACTTGAATTTGTAAAGCATATAAAAATAAAATAAAATATTAAAATATTAGACAGAATTTAATTTAAAAATGAAATATACATGTAAAAATTTGTTGATTTTATTTTATTGTCAAAATAATAAATATAGTTTATATTCTAATGTAACTATTTAACAGTTGAATCAATAAATCTGAATTATTATTATAATATTCATATTATCTTCAAACTTTTATTTTAATCCAGTATGGATATGCCAATAAGTTATTTGAATGGATTTTTGAAGCCATAATACCTTTACCATTCTGCACTAGTCACACACTAATCATAGATACGTTAGTCAGTTACATGAATGGGTTAAAGCCATTTTGATGATTAAATCACTAAAAAAAGGGATAGTAGAAAAGATGAAAGATTGGGCCCCTTCGATCAGCGTCACTTTCGGTTTCCTCGTCCCGCCGGTGAGGTGAACAAGCTCCGAGCTCCAGATCCCGATCCATCTCGATTCAGTTGTCATCCAATCCATCTTTCACACTCCAGTTCCACTTTGTTCGCTCCGCATTGTTGTGCCTCCATCATCTCGGTTTATTCATCTCCGATCTCCGACTTTAGCTGCAGCGACTATAAAAAGCATAACGGAAAAAAGTGGGTTACTTCATTTTTATTTTCATGCCCCAAGAAAGAGAGAGAGAGGGGGATAGAGGGAGAGAAAGAGAGACCAACTTTACATCTATTCATCTATCTATCTTTATTTTTTCTTTTTAGCACAGATTGAGTAATAGTTAGTTGTTTGGCTTATATCTTAGAGCCGGGCTTCGTTCCCTCTCTTTTGTGTTGGTATTCGCCTGGCAACGACGATCGTGTGGCCAACACAGCGGTTTCACTTTCTATGCCGACTTCGACGCAGACTGACTTTTGCTATCTAATACAGCCGCCGCAACAACAATGGGGCATCTAGCTACACGTGAAGAAATTTCTTGGGTTTCAAGTTTACAAAGTAACTAAAAAAAAATTATTTGTTTTACTCGCATTTTAAATTGATATACTTTGGAGACCCAAAGTATTTAAAATCATATAAAATCTTAAACATTAATTATTATGATGTGAATTCGAAATGTAAACAACAGGACAGTTCGAATTCTTTCTCTTTTCCACTCTCGTTAATTTAACGGAATAACGATACATTAAGTTATGCTTCGTTTAAGTAATTCGAATTGTATTGATTCGGTAAAGTCAAGAACTCAAGAACCATTTGGTAAATAATAAACTCTTATAAAATTCTACATAAAACATTGCCCTTTGTTGCAGTGTAGCAACAACAATCGCTCACCTCTTTTTCTTCGCGCTTTGTTGTTTTCTTTCCACAATACATTGACTATTTTCTTTTCGACGACGCCAAGCGCCATACGCCATACGCCATGTTGGCCGCAGAGTCTAAGACCCAGACTCGAACCCCAAGCAAAACCCAAACTCAAACTCAAACTCAGGCTGAGATTCAGCTTCACTCTCGTCTTGTATCTGCATGTGTATCTGTATCTGTTTCTGTAGTCGAGTGTAGGGGTTATGTAATGGGCCGACTGCTGTTGTTGCTGTTGCTTTTAAAGATGCCTTTTCTTTTGTTGGGCTGTCGGCTCTGCCTGATGACCAAGTTAAGATATTATGTTCGTTATGTTGCGCTTATTAACGTGGCCCACAAAAATTGTTTAACGTTTTGTTTTGCTTAAACGAATTTTCCGTTATAAATCAAGCGAACCACGCAAAATAGAGACATTTTGTGTGCGATGATGGCCAGATGGTAAATCATCAAGCAAACTGCCCGGCCAAAGTGCATCATAGACGAAAATGATATCCTATCCCTTCTCCCCCTTTCGATATTTTTCTCCTTACGCAACTTGTCGAGTGGAAATGCTATCCATCTATCTTACCTTCTCTCGGTCCAATCAGTCGGCACTGCCATTTGAAACAATTACGCAGCTCCAGCGGACATTAAAAAGAAATAATTTTACGCATAGTAAAAGTATCTTTGGGGAAAAGTGGCCCACCCTTAGGCCGAATATAAAAGCGATTTATGGGCCTAGTTGGGCATTTACACGTAAAGAAAAGGGCAAAGAAAGTGCTTGTCGAAAGGCTAAAACATAGGGTTTTAGGAGTAAATAACAATTAAGATTCCAATTAATTTCTATTACTTACATTCACGTGTTAGAGCGGAATTAATTATTTATTGAATTGTACAGAAGTCATAAGGAACCTTACTGAAGGAATAATTAAAGGAAAATAGTTCCGGGAAACAAATCATTAAATTGAGGCTCTCTTCCAAAATCATAACTATATAAATTAATATTAATGCAAATTAAAATAATTATCTAGCGATAATAGAATCCTCCCAATTAAGAGAAAATCTTTACCAGGTGCAGGGAATAAATAATAAAATAAGTAAATGGAATTAATAGAACACTCCCTTTAATAAAGGCCACCCAAATACAATAGCAAAATCGAAAGAAAGCAAGAGGAAGAGAGCGAGACAAAACAAAACTAAATCTAAACCACTCACCCAAAGACCCATTGGCCTACTTTTCTTACAGAGCCCAGCAACAACAATAAAAATATAAAAAATGCTAGAAAATAATCTCAACGCCAACACACACGCACACATGGCTAATCAAGGCGTATCTGTGTGTTGGTGCGTCAAAACTTACAAGGGGCGCCCTTTTCGAAAAAAAGTCGAAAGAAATCCAAAGTCTTCCAAGAAAGCTGCGCGCGCTTCTATTTTCAGCTGCGCGTTGGCGTCGCCGTCTTTATCAATCTTGCGAGGGGGGTTACCAAAAGGGGGATGTGGGGGGTGGGGGGTTGTGGAAGCGGTACGAAGGGGGAGCGGCACGAGGGGCGGTTACTTATCTTAGGGCAAGACCCGCGTCCGCTGAGCGAAAGAGATGGCTGGCGAACCAAAGGGCCAGACACTTGTTGCAAGCAGAACGCCCGACCGAAAAAAAAACAGAGCAGCAACAACAAATTGACCCAATTTTTGTAAATTTTTTTTCTTTACTGCACACACAATTACAAACAACACAATACAAACAAACCTAAATATGCGCCCTGAAGTCATAAAGAAATATAAAATACACACAGAAAATAAAAAATATGTATTTATTTTTTTATAATAATTTATGATCTTTATAATTAAAATATTTATGATTCCAATTTGTCTTCTTAAGTGTGATTTTAGCCTCGTATTTACTCGTAAACTATCGTATCTTAATTATATATTTACTTTTTGTTCAAACATATTTAATTCAAACATTAGTTCGACACTTAAAATAAATTTGTTAATACCAAAATTTAAATTTTAATCTTTTGAATTTACCATTTCATTTAATTTTATTTTTAAAATTTAAATACGGAATTAGAAGTATCTAGATATATTTTTGCCCGTGTACATATATGCCACTAAAT